ATTTTTCTATCTTGTGTTTTTCAAATGATCTGTCAGTGGTCCATATTTTCTTTGTTTAGATAAGGAATGGTCTTTTGGTTATTCTTGAGCTTCAAATATGCTCTATTGTAAAGTATATAGATTTAAGAACTGATAATCCTGGAAGAAAATGAGGGAATAAAAACCATGCGATGTAATGCGACAATGTGAGTACATTTGATACTCATGTAAGTTCAGGCTGCTATGGTTTGAGAGCATTCTCCACACTTTGTGTATTAAAAATCACATTGACCATCCAAGAGGGCACATACCCATGATTCCAACACTGAGGAGGCTGAGGCTGGTTCGTCATGAGTGCTAGCATGGACTACATAGTGAGACCCTGCCTTAAGAAGAAGATCAAGCAGAAAAGATGAAGTAAAGAAAAAGAAAAAAATACACCACTGCATTTGGACATGGTATCTTTGGGGAGTAGTTTAGGATTAAAGGATGTCATGAGGGTGAGATCCCTCATGATTCAATCAAGAGCTTTATAAAAAGAATCAGAGAGGTTGAAAGTAGCAAGATTCTCTGTATTGCTTTCTGATACGCCACACTACCATAGAATTCTACAAAGAGTATCCCCAACATGGCCCTAACCAGGTGTGATCCTCCTCCCCATTCTTGAGCCTCCAGAACCATGGGAGAAGATACCCTTCTATTCCTTGTAACTTACCCACTCTATGGTATGCTGTTACCAGCAACAGAAAATAGTCTGACAGATACAGGCATTGTGACATATTCTTTTCAGTCTTTTCTTTCCCTCGACCGTGAAGACTAAACTTTTGGAAATAATTTTTAATAGATTAGCCTTGCTGTGCCTCCAGGTAGAAGCTACTCAGAAGGTTAGCATTTGGGCTTTATGACTGTTCTGGCAGGAAAGTTTTAGTGTTCTGATATTAAGTTTCCATATATGTAGTATAGGCCAAATGTCTCTTCTTTAGGTTATGGAAGTAAGACAGCTGTGGCCCAGAAAAACTGAGTGCTTCTTTTGGGTCCCGGCACCAATCTGGTTCTCAGCAAATGAGCTCATGTCTAGATCTCGTCTAAATCATCTCATCTTTTGATGGGGAAACATTTACTGTCAGCTTTTTCAAAGAAACTTCCTCATAGCATCATGCCTGTCTTCCTGTTCTTGCCACCTACAATGTTTTTTTTCACACTAACGTGTTTTAACTTTCATTCTCAAGTAACTTCATGAAACCTGTCCAGAATGTCCCGTCACAACAATGTCTGTGTGTACACATATGTGTGTGTGTTTATGTGCTATTATTATCTATTTGAATGTTCCTTGTTCTTCAAGTCCTTCATCCTCATTTTGTAGTTGAAAATTGAGGGCTACATGAAAGTGCTATTTCTTTAACTTTTTTTTGTCATGTTTACGCTAAGGATCTGTGTACTGAGACATCTATTTCCAGCTGCCTTTAAAAATGGAATCCATGTTTTGATCTCGAATCACTGAGGTCAGCACATTTTAGTTATCAATGAGTGTCATCTAAAAATGGAAGATGGTGTCTTTTGAAGAAGCATGAAGAAGCTCTTTGATCAAACAGCTACAGTCTGATCATGTGGGGGAAGGGCTTCCTGTAGAACCTGGTAGCTTTTTAGAATAGTGTGGAAGAAAAATGAGATATGAAAAGTGTTTGGAAGAAAATAGGGATTTCAGAGTAGACTCTGAGCCATGTCTAAAAGAATGGGTGACGCAGCCCTAGAGAATACATTTACCATCTGCCATGATGGAAAGTGGAGTTTGCTCATCTTAACTCAGCTGCAGGCTTGCCTGTCCACATTAGTTTTATTAATATGGAATGAGCGTTAACTATGGAGAAGATATTTTCATCATTTTTCTGGAAATGATATGATACCCACAAGAAATGTTCCCATTTTGTTGAATTTTCCCTCCTATTTTTTTCTCCATTAAAAGAGAGTTAATAGTTTCACTACATTTCTGAAGCTTGTGAATTTTGTGTTTTTAATTAATTTATTCACTTTATATCCTGGTTATAGCCCTGTTCCTGGTCTCCTCTTGGGTCCCACAATCTCTCCCTCTTTCCCTCATCTCCCTTTCCTAGAAAGGCAGAGCCTCCTCCCCTACCATCTGATGCTAGCCTATCAAATCTCATCAGAGCTGTCTGGATTCTCTTCCTCTATGGCCTAGCAAGGCCACACTGCCAGGAGGAAGGGATCAAAGAGTACAACTGGAGTTCATGTCAGAGACAGCTCCTGTTCCCCTTACTAGGGAACCCACACAGAGACTGAGATGCTCATCGGCTACATCTGAGCAGGTGGTCTAGGTCCTCTCCATGCATGATCCTTAGTTGGCACATCAGTCTCTGCAGGCCCTACCAGGCCCAGATTTGTTGGCTTTGTTGGTCTCCCTGTGGAACTCCTGTCCCCTCTGGGTCCTTCTATCCCCCAACTCTTCCATGAGACTCCCAGCACTCTGCCCAAAGTTTGGCTATGAGTCTCAGCATCTGCTTCAATCCTCTGTTGGGTGGAGAATTTCAGAGGACATCTATGGTAGGCTCCCGTCCTTATCCCTTTTTTCAAGTGCTTCTGGTGTCTGTTTTATTTGCCTTTCTGAATGAGAATTAAGCATCCTCGCAAGATTCCTTGTAATTTAGCTTCTTCAGGACTTGGATTTTAGTATGGTTATTCTGTACTATATGGCTAATATCCTCTTGTAAGTGAGTATACACCATACATGTCTTTCTGGGTCTGGGTTACCTCACTCAGGATGATCTTTTTATAGTTTCATCCATTTACCTGCAAACTTCATGATTTCTTTGTTTTTAATAGCCGAATAGCATTCCATTATGTAAATGTACCATATTTAAAAAAATCCATTCTTCAGTTGAGGGACATCTAGGTTGTTTCCAGATTCTGGCTATTACAAATAAAGCTGCTATGAACATAGTTGAGCAAATGTCCTTGTTGTATGGTGGAGCATCTTTAAGGGTATATGCCCAGGAGTGGTATAGATGAGTCTTGGGGTAGCCCTATTCGCAGTTTGCTGAGAAAGCACCAGATTGATTTCCAACATGGATGTACAAGTTTGCACTCCCACCAACAATGAAGCAGGGTTTCCCTTTCTCCACCTCCTCACTAGCATGTTCTTTCACTTCAGTTTTTTATCTTAGCCATTCTGATGGGTATAAGATGGAAGCTCAGAGTTGTCTTGATTTTCATTTCCCTGATGACTAAGGCTATTGAGCATTTCTTTATGTGTTTATCTGCTACTAGATAGTTCTTTGTTGAGAATTCTCTGCTTAGCTCTGTACCCCATTTTTTGTTGGGTTACTTGTCTTTTTGGTGTTTAATTTCTTGAGTTCTTTATGTATTTTGGATATTAACCCTCTGTTAGATGTAGGGTTGGTAAAGATCTTTTTCCAGTCTCTGGGCTGTCATTTTGTTCTGTTGACAGTGTCCTTTGCTTTACAGAAACCTTTCAGTTTCATGAGGTTCCATTCATTTATTGTTGATCTTTTAGAGCCTGAGTTGTTGGTGTTCTGTTCAGGAAGTTGTCTCTTGTGCCAATGAGTTCAAGGCTCTTCTCTGCTTTTTCTTCTAACAGATGTAGTTGTCTGGTTTTATATTAAAGTCTTTGACTTAGATTTTAGTTTTGTGCAGGGTGATAAATATGGGTCTATTTGCATTTTCTACATGTAGACATCCAGTTAGACCAGCACCATTTGTTGAAGATGCTATCTTTTTTTTTTTCCATTGTATGCTTTTGGCTTCTTTGTTTTTAAATAGGAGCTTACATAAACTACAACTTTAAGTTAAAAACCCTAGATGGTTATTAAAACCAATACAAGAGTAGAGAATAAAATGAAAAATAAAAGTCTTCTAAAATTCTTTTATATGAATCCGTGTCAACATTTTGATTTATGTTAGTCTAGGCAGTTAAGTTCCTGGGGTGGAAGCATTGGGTGGGCTGTGGATGTGACAATGCCCATCAAAACTGGCTCTGAAAGAAATCGAGGTCAGAGCCTCTGAGATGACTGGGAACCATGCTGTAGGCTGGATCGCAGATCCTTGTGTCATTGTATGGGTTAGGTGTTAGGACAGATTTTTCTTTATAAGGTGCTATTTTTTATTAGTTTATGACCACCATTCTATATGATTGCATTGTCTTCCAAAGCAGTCCACATCCTAGGATTAAATACTCTACTGCCTAGTCATATAGTTTAACTTAAACTCCACAGTTAAAGGCTTGGATTTCTATCTTTGAAAAGCAGTAAGTTATGTATATGCATAAATCTACATCCACAACCAGGGTTGTTTTCATAAAATAAAATGCCTACAAGTGGCACTGGAGTGTCAAAAAATACGGGCGTCTAAACAGACTGACGATAACCAATTGGTTTCCCATAGTGAGGGGAACAAGCACTATTTCTAACAGGAACTCAATGACTGGCTCTTTGACCTCCCCACCCCCCAAGGGAGGAGCAGTCCTGTTAGGCCACAGAGGAGGGTTTCTGCAGCCAGTCCTGAAGATACCTGATAAAACAGGATCGGATGAATAGGGAGGAGGTCCCCCCATCAGTGGACTTGGAAAGGGGCACGGTGGAGATGAAGGAGGGAGGGTGTGATTGGGAGGGAATGAGGGAGCGGGACACGGCTGGGATACAGAGTTAATAAAATGTAACTGATAAGAAAAAAATAAAATTAAACATAAAAAAAAAAAACAAAACAGACTGACGAATGTTTTTCTTCCCAGATAGGTGGTCCACAGCAGCTCCCTATAAGAGAATTTTCTACATTTTCTTAGGAAACACCTGCTCTGCCTTCGTAAATGTCACTAAGCTGGTTTCATTGTTGTACCCACATAAACCCATAGGTGTGATTGTCTGTACTATATTTGCACTCTAATATAGAATATATGCTGTATTATGAACTCATTTCCCTGTTATATCACATAAGCTTACAAGTGTAGATTTCTTATTCATCTTCTAAATGTGAGTGTCTCTGCTTCCCAGGCACCTGCGTGAACATCACTCACAGCCAGTGTCAGATTCTGCCCTACCACAGCACGCTGGCACCTTTCTTGCCAATTGTCAAAAACATGGACATGGAGAAATTCCTCAAGTTCTTCACATACCTCCACCGCCTCAGTTGCTATCAGCATATCCTGCTATTTGGCTGCAGCCTCGCCTTTCCTGAGTGTGTCATTGATGGTGATGACAGGTATTTTGGAACCAAATCATTTAATGATAAGAGCCCAGTTACTCTAGGGACAAGTGTCCCAGAGGAACAAATTGTCCTGTTACTGCTTTTTATTTTTGCTGCTTTTAGTGGGAGAAAGGACGCGCATCTGTCATAGTTAATTGCAAGTCTCTGAAACTAATGTATTTAGATTTAGAGTATCCAGATTAATTTTTTATGAGAAGAAATTATCCATATATTAGTCAGGGGGGGGATACTCAATTGCTCTTTCAGTGAGGGTCTGACAGAGGAAGAAATGTATCCGAAGGTATAGCTGAAATGTTTATTGGTGAGATTTTTTTTTTTTTTTATGGAGGCATGCAGGAGGGAGGGGCAAAGGAAACAATTAAGTAATAAGCACCATGGTCTCATGATAAGAGGATGCAGTTCTACTACCAAAATCTTCAAGAGAAGAAAGGCACGAAGCAATTGTAAACTCATAGCTACGGGTGAGGAGATGAAATAGACACCCTAGACCCCTTCTCCAATCATCCTTTCTGCCAGTGAATGTACTCACCAGCAAGAGACAAAGACATCCAGGACAATGGGTGAGATCCAGAATCTCATCAAACATCATCAGCTAAGAAGTCCAGAATCTTATTTAAATCAGTTACGAATGGCATCCTGGTTGGTTTTTCTCATCAGCATGAGGACCTAGTGCTAGGGTTGGGGTGTAGATATGCAAGCAGAAACTACTCAATAGGATGGAAATAATTTTCAGTAGCAGTCTATCAACCCAAATAATGTCATGGTTATTTACAGCACTAAAGGTATATTTGGACAATTCCAAAGCACAGGCCAAGTACCTATTCTCATGCAACATCAGGTATTATCTGGATTTAAATGTTAGGAACTTTTGAGACTAGTAAGAGCAGGACACATTTTATTTTTCAAGTGCAGTTACATCCCATGTTGTTTGTGATAAATTGAGCAGTGTGTAAAATACCCTGAGAATTGGGCAAACACCTGTTGTTTTAATTGCAAGATGCTACTCTGCTCAGGTAGAGCAGAAGCAGTAGATGTTGAGCTGTATAAATAAAAAACCAGGAATGTGTGGAGAATTCGGCAGAACTTGACTTGTCAAGGACTCAGGTACAGAGGGTGGCTTCATGGTGCATAGAAAGAGAAGGTGGATTTGATCTTTCTCATGGGTTAAAATCAGAGATGCTTGTGTGGGCTGTGGTTATGAGTCAGCACCATAGTGCTTGCCTAGCATATGTAGAATCCTGCGCTCCAGAAACAATTGAAGATGGTCACCCAGAGTTGTTTTGTTTTCCCAGACTGTGGCAACATAGTTGGTGGTTCTGTTGGCTTTCTTGGGTTGCTTTAACAAAGTGCCACCTGCTGGGTGGCTTAAACAACAGAAATGTCTTCTCCCACAGATCTGAAGGCTGAAAGTCCGCTTGTCTGGCGGGCTGTCTGGTTCCCAGAACTCTATGGGGACAATTCATTTGTCCCTTTGCTAGTTTCCTATTATTTCTGTTCCTTTGTCTTGTGCCCGTATTTCTCCAGCTTGTGCCTCTACCATCACAGAGCACCCATCTCTTCCTCTTCTGTCTCCTCTAAGGACATTGCCATTGGAGTCAGGACTCAGCCACACAATCTAGGGTAATAGCTTCACCTCCAGATCGTTAATTATATCCACAGAGACCTGTCTCCAGTGAGGTGGCATTTCCAGTTGCAGAGATTACAATGTGGACCCCTGTCTTTGAGGCAGTGGTTGGGAAACAGGCTAAGGGAGCTACGTGTCATGGCCTCCTCCTATGTAAAAGAGCAATAATGCTTATACTTATGTTACCAATTTAATGTGAGGATTTAATGACTCATGGGTCTTGGGATACTACCTGGATCTTAGAAAGAGCTTAGTAAATGTTAGCAATAGCTATAAAGTGGTGATTTGTGAAGGACAAGTAGAATGAATGAAGTGGAGCACACAGAAATGTACTTCTAATATATATGCTATGTATGAAGGATTTAAAATAAAAGAGTACTCCTTTGCTTAAAACAAAATCACATACAGTACCAAAGGTTTTTGGAACTGTAGGCTCATGCATGCACACAGAAAGTCAATGAAAAGGAGTGTGTTCATAGTCTCGGAACCACTAGGTTCATTATGATGATCCTCTTTATTCTAACTCAGTCTCTGCTTGAATAAACACTTTTGAGCTGCCCACACTCTCCAGGGCACTTCAAGATAAACTTGTTTTCCCGTGACCTAATTTATCCTTTGATACCTGCACTGGTATGAGAGTTTTCCATTTTCTCTTATACTTAATAATAATTCACAGTTACGTTTCAAGTGTTCCTTGGGGACTGATCCCATTTTTATTATTATGTTTAGCTTTATAATTGTCCTTTTAGGCCATGCTTCCTGCTGCCATTTACTGTGTATATGGGAACTGCAACCTAATTTAATAAGCAGAATAAGTTCAACAAAGTAAATGTATTGTAGAAAACCATTATAAGGTCAAACATATTTTTCTTGTGTTTCACTCTTTTGTATCCTCTATTATATGCCACACCATTCAAATAAAGGCAAAGTGTTTGTTTTCCAACCTAGAGAAAAACAGTTAACTATATAACATTTAAAATTTAATTTTAAAACATTGTAGTGGGATGTATAAACAGCACAGTTTTTTAACCTGATTCTTTGGAGACGACAGATACCAATTAACTGCATTGTATGTTGAAGCTTCAATGGACTTTCTTGGTCTTTATTTTGGAGCACGTGTATGTTCATGTACTGCAGCATGGTCTAGTTGAAAGGCAGGAGAACATATGGCTCCAGTGGAGCATATCTAAAAGTATAAAATTTTAACTGATAAGCTGTTGGGGTGGCTCTAAAGTAAGTAGGTTAAAAGACAGTGCTTACAATATCAAGTAGCTAGCAAGAAAATATTGGCTAGCTAACAGAGCATTAGACCCAGATGACGTTTTGATATAAGAAGTAAAGTTCAAGTCTTTTTGTGCTTTTGATAGGTAACTGTTGCCCTCTTCTACCTCCTTCAAACCATTGGCTTGTAATTTTATCAGCCCCGAGAGGGTGTTAATTTGGCTTGGAAATATCAGCCTTGACTTAGCTTCTTCTAGAAGGTTCTCCAGAAACCTTGCTGACTTCCCATCACCCCATTCAAACCTTCTACTACTTTGCAGGGAAAGTCTTTACCAGTGACAGGGTGGGTTTAAGTAAGGAAACTGATGCATGGCCTATTGAACTTTCTCCTTGGGAGTACCAATCTGTGACTGGGATTTAGCAGAAACACCCAGGGCAAGGAAATAAAATTTCTTTATGTAAGTATATGACTATATTAGAAAGCATATCTCAAATGTAGGACCATTTCCCATAGTAGTCTAAATTCCTATAAGTTTGTGCTGGAAAGTAGAACGAACTTCCTCAAATGAGCACTGTGTGTGTGTGTGTGTGTGTGTGTGTGTGTGTATGTGGCTGGCCAGAGACCAGCCTCAGCCTCATTCCTCAGGAAACCAGCTGCCTTGTTTTCTGAGACTGTGCCATTGGATTGGAGCTTACAGAGTAGACAGGCTGGCCGGTCAGTGAACTCCAGACACCCTCCTGCCTTCACATCCCAGTGCTGGAGTTATAAGCACGTGGTACTATGCCCACCTTTTTTATTTTTTTAAACACAAGTTCTAAGAATTGAAGTCAGGTTCTTATGTGACAAGCACTTTACTGACTGAGCTATTTCCACAGCTTAGAGTAAAATTCATTTATATAAGATTTATTTATTTTATGTGTTTGAGTGCTCTATCTGCAAGAAGATGGTATTAGATTACTTTATAGATGGTTGCTGGGAATTGAACTCAGGACCTCTGGAAGAGCAGATAGTGCTCTGAACTGCTGAGCCATCTCTCCAGCGCTCCTGTAACTCATTTTCAAGTGTAAGAATTTTTAGTAACATAAAATTTTATAAATTTAAGAAATAGTAACAACCTTTCTGAGCAACCTTGCTGTAATGAACCACCAAAGTTACTCACTGTTCTTATTGTGTCTCCCAGTTTTTGTTGTTGTTGTTGTTGCTTTCTGTCACTTCTAGAAAGTGTTCACGTGTGGTCTATGGTCTACTGTCTGGCAGATAAATCCTTCACAAATAGTGGTTCTTGTTATTGATAGAGCATATGCTTATATCAACTTGATTCCATGTTTGGAGATGCCAGATTTCTATTGTCACCTCCTTCTTTCCGTTTCCTGACCCACTGCCCTTCCACTGCCCATGTGATAATTTAAGAACATTTTGAATGGTGCCATTCAGTATCCTTTTAAGCTCTCTGTCAGACTTAGATTTCAAGCTAAGCTCCATGCTGTGTTTTTGAAGCCCTTCCTGACTCTCTTATGTCATGGACCCAGCTCCACCTTCACTAACTTTCCTTTCCCTTTCTCAACAAACAAACAAACAAACAAACAAACAAACAAACAAACCACAAACCTCTTTTGAGCAGCCTTTGCACGTAATGTTTCCCTTGCCTCCGAGATATCCCCTCTCACTTTAAGCCCTTAGTCTCAAAGTCCTGGCTGTAGTGAAGCCTTCTCTGAACACCCCAGGTTTTTATTTTCTTTTCATGGCAGCCTGGTGGTGCCCCTTGTTTTCACCATATGTTAAGTGTTCTTAACATGCATAGACCCCTAAGAAACACCCCAGGTTTAGCCTAAGAAGCAGAAGGAAGTGGTTGAGTTTATGGGTTTGATGAAGGCAATGGCTCCACAGTTACTCTCTAATTTCCGAATTGCTCATATTGTTTGCATCAATTATTTAGAGCCTCTTATATGCCAGTCACACATTTTGTTTCGATGGATAAATGCTAGGATTTTCCTGTTTGGGCCTCATCATGTTACAAAATCAGCCTGAGATGCCTCCAAAAAGTGGTCATGGTATATACCAATAATACATTGGGATGGTTTTTGAAAAAAACAAAACTTTGGCTACATAGAGCTACAAAGCTTATAAAGAGCAATTTCTGCTATTTGC